AAGTAGTCAAGGACCCTCAATTCCTGAACTCGGTTTAAAGTGGTTTACAACTAGTAGTATTCAGGCACTGACAGATGTAAATAAAAATCTTTCATTCAAGATCTCAGGATATACTGACAATATTGTTTTCAGGTCAATGACCATTGCAAGTTAAAAACAAACGAATCTGGCACATGCAGAAATAGGGACCACAGACCAGCTAAAACAGCACACAGCAGAAACATGCTTGCAGACTTTAGACTCTAGAACTATCATATGGAGGTTTAATATATTTAAAGAAATAATTTTTAAAAAGCTTGAAGATAATTAAAGGGAACAAGAAATGATAAAAAATGTCATAGCAAATTTGAAAAATAATTAGAATTTTATTTATTTATTTATTTTATCCTCACCCGAGGACATTTTTCCATTTTTTGTTCAGATAGAGCAGGAGGGAGAAAGGAAGAGAGAGAGAGAGAAACATCGATGTGAAGGGACACATCGAGTGGCTGCCACCCGCACGACCAACCAGGGCCGGGGACAAAGTGCAACCGAGGTACATGCCCTTAGCGGGAACCGAACCCGGGTCTCTCTGTACCGCAGGCCGACGCTCTAACCGCTGAGCCAAACCGGCCAGGGCAATAATTAGAATTTTAAAAATGAAAACTACAACTAAAATAACATGATACTTTCAATAATACTTTTAATAACATATGGACACACAATAAGACAAAATTAGTAAAACTGAAAGAAAGATATGAAATTACACATAAAATAGCACAATGAAACAAGAGTGGAACCTGGAAGATAGTGAGGAGATAACTTTAATGTGCCAAAAGGAAGTAAATGCCACCCTAGAATTTTATACCCAGGAGAAAATATTGATCAATAATCACATTTAAGGCAAACAAAAACTAAAATAGTTCATCACCAGGTGAAGTATTCATAAAGAGAGTCATTGCTTAATGTTAAGTTTTAATTTAGCAGGAAGATATTACAAATTTAAATTTGGTCAACTATCAAAATAAAATAAAATAGCCTCAAAATATATAAAGCAACAATTTGACAGAAATCCAAGGAGAAATAAACAATTCACCATTCATCGTGAGACACTTTAACACAACTTTCTCAGTCACATAAAGAAGTAAATAAAAAGAATAGAAAATATTTAAAGAACACAAATAGCAAATGACTTAACACATACAGAGCACTAGGCAATTTCAGAATACTGCCTTTTCATGAACTGCACATTTATAGAAATTGACCATTCTCATCCTGAAGTACTATACAAGAACGAATGATATGCAGCTACCCACAACAATACAGATAAATATCACAAATAATCACATTTAGAAAAAGATGGCAGAACAAAAGTGTATATGCTATATAATTTCATACATGTAAAATGTAAAAACAGCAAAACTAATCAAGGTATTAGAATTCAGATTAGTGTTCTGACAATGTTCTATTCTTGTCTCGATCTGCATTCTAGTTACATAGGTATGTTCAATTTGTGGCCTGGCCGGTATGGCTCAGTGATTAAGCATCAACCCATGCACCAAGAGGTCCCCAATTCGATTCCCTGTCAGGGAACATGCCCAGGTTGTGGGCCAGGTCCCCAGTGGGGGGATGCGGGAGAAGGCCAATCAATGTTCTCTCTCATCGATGTTTCTATCTCTCTCTCCCTCTCCTTTCCTCTCTCTCTCAAATCAATAAAGAAGCAAAAATGGGTGAACATTTTCATATGTAATATTTTCTTTATCAATCATTTAATATATTTTCTAATTTCCTTTTTAACACCTTCTTTGACCCATAGGCTATTCAGAAATATGTTTTGTTTTTCAATATCCAAATGCATAGAGATATTCTACACATAATCTATAATCTTTTGATTATAGATTTCTAATTACATCTTACTGTCTTCAAATCATAACCAGTGAGATTTTAATTCTTTGATATTTGTTGAAATTTTCTTTGCAGCCCTTGATAGTCATTTTTTGAAAAACTTTTTGTTTGTTGGATTGTAATATACATACAGAAAAGTGCACAAACCACAAATGTTGCACAGTGGGCCAATTTTGTTTATATCTGTTAAATACTATCAAAAGGAGAGATATAGATATGAATGTTTCTCTAAATTTCTTAAACTGATAGATTTGAGTAAATTAAATAAGTCAGAAGAGCTTAGAATTTGAACAAAATCTAAAGAAACATGCATTGACATGATTCTGTGTGACTCAGACACACAGTTGAAACTATAAAATTAAACCCTTTCCAAAGACTTTTGTTTTATAAAATTCATTTTATTAAATGGTATATCATTTAAGAGCCAATTCAAATGTCATCTCTAGTACAAAGACTTCTCTGATTCCCTCCTCCATGCCCACATGTTCTCTCTCTCTTCTTTGAGTATCCATTGCAATTTATTTTTAGGTTATCATCATTTTTACTCATGTATTATAAAGTTTAAGTAAATGTCTCATCTTCCATTATATTAAACTTGTATTTCGCAAAGACGCACATACTTTTTATTCCCTCTTTAGGTATCAGAATGGCTTATCTGTTGCTTAACATCATATTTTAAAATATGTTTTTATTGATTTTTAAGAGAGAGAGGAAGGGAGAGAAACATCAATCGGCCATAGTGGCAGGGCAAAATAGCTTTTGAATGAAGGATATTTATTTAAAGAAATTCCTGAAAGAAATTATTTAAAGACATTTCAGGTCATTTATTACTTATACCAGAAATTTTGGTGTTTTGTTATTATTTTTGTCATTAATACTCACCTGAGGATATTTTCCCATTGAGTTTTAGATAGGGAGGGGAGAAGGAGAGGGAGAGGGAGAGGGAGAGGGAGAGGGAGAGAGAGAGAGAGAGAGAGAGAGAGAGAGAGAGAGAGAGAGAGAGAAACATGGATGCAAGAGAGACACATAGATTCCTTGCCTCCCACAGGACCCTGACTGGGGATTGAACCTGAAACTGAAGTATGTGCCCTTGACCAGAAATTGAATCCACTGCCCTTTAGTCTGTGGGCCGGCGATCTCACTGCTGAGCCAAACTGGCCAGGGCAATGTTTTATTATTTTTAATTTTAGACCTTTGTGCTATGTTATTTTTGTTGTTCTTTAATAGGTTGGAATTTCTTACCTTTGTTTCTCAAAAATAAACTATAATCTCCTTGAGGCCAAGGGCAGTCTTTGAATACTTTTATACTCCCAGAATTCTTAGCATAGGGGGTGCTAAGCAGAAGGGTTCAACTCAATGGATTAAATGTTGCCAAAGGATCATCCAAGATGGCTTGCAGCCATCTCCTGGTCCCATATAATTTGCTTACCATGGCATTGACATTTACGTGATCAACTTTCTTATTTCAAACCTAAATACAAGATATTGGCAAATTCAATTCTACCCCAACGGCCAGATTTCTCAGGCCAGCATCACTGGATTCCCCAGCAGCCACAGCAAGCTATTATTATCAGAACTAAGTCCCAGGGAGGCCCAATAGAGAGGTCTGAAAGTCTCTCGACCGTAGTGACATCTATTGTGGCCGATGTCATGCAGGGATTCGAAGCCATCCTCCTTCCACACCTCAGCTCCTCTGGGGAGCGACAGCAGCTCTGAGAGCCAACCTCGGCTCTGGCTCAAGTTGATACACACAAAGAAAAGTAAGCACCCCAGAAATAAAAAGAAAACACAGGCCAGAGCAATTACTAAATAGAAGTTCCAGGTGGAAAGGTGCCCTTCTGTTTCCCAGGCATCTTCAAAGTCTGGAAGGACCTGCCCTAGCTGGTTTGGCTCAGCAGTTAGAGCATTGGCCTGTGGACCAAAGAGTCCCGGGTTCGATTCTGGTCATGGGCATGTACCTCGGTTGTGGTTAGTCGCTGCCTTGTTGGAGTTTTGCAGGCAGCAACCAATCTGTGTCTCTTTCACATCGATGTCTCTCTCTTTCTCTCTCTCCCTCCCTCCCACTCTGTGAAGACAAATTGTAAAAATATCCTCAGGTGAGGATTAAAAACATACACACATTTTTTTTTTTTAAGTCTGGAAGGGCCTGAGGAGCAGAGTTGCTCAAAAGCACACCTAGGTGAGTCTCCATGGTCCTGAACCACTATCACCACCCTCTGTTTAACTGCATCAGTGGGAAGAACTAAGCGAGCAGTCCGGAGCTCTCCCATATTGGCTGAAATTCTGAAAAGGCTAAAAAAGTCAGGAGCCTGAGAGATGTGGTAGGAAAGCCAGGCATTGGAGCCGCTGTCTGTATCCCCTGCTACCACTTTTGTGACCAAGTGTCCAGTTCTGGCAGAGCAGAGCACAATTTCCACTGCGATAGAGCCATTTCTGGCAAGGGAAAGAAGATGACAGGAGCATTGTCATTCCTATCAATGACAAACAAGTTCACGGTCACTGCTGCATTTCTGGGAGGAGTGCCACCATAACCGGCTTCCACTTGAAAGCTAAACCCCTTGAGCTACTCCAAGTTAAAGGAAGCTTTGGCAGTGATAACCCCACTGGGAGATTCTACTGCCACCAAGCTAGAGGCTATCTGCCCTTCAGAGATAATATCCAACAGTTCATAGAAGACAAGGCCATTCTTTCCCTGGTCCAGATCCTGGGCAAATATGCAGCCTGGAGAGGCTTCAGGGCCATTGTTCTCAGACATATAAAGTTCCTGTTGAGGTTGAGGAAAGCTTGATGTATTACTGTCCACATCACCAGCTGACACAGTCAGTGTCCTGTGGGTGCTAAGTCAGATGAGCCACCAACTGAGGCAGTGATCAGGACCTGCTGTTCGCTGACCTGCTCCCTGTCCAGTGGCCCATCACTCAGCAAATTGTCATAATTGTCAAACGAAGACTTCGGTTTAAAAACAGCTCTGCTACCCTGCGGAGTGGTTCAGTGGTTGAACAGCGACCCATGCACCAAGAGGTCGCTGGTCCCATTCCCGGCAAGGGCACATGCTCAGGTTGTGGGCCAAATCCCCAATGGGGGGCATGCAGGAGGCAGTCAATCGATGTTCTCTCTTATCGATGTTTCTATCTCTCTCCCTCTCACTTTCTCTCTCTCTCTAAAGAACAACAAACAAAAAACCCCGCCTCCACTGGACATGCTACAAATGACTTTACCATTGGGACCGAAGCCCTCATCCCTTAGGAGAGCAATCATTGTGCCAGGGACAGTGTTCTTGGAAAGTGGACTGGAGAGAATCAGCAGGTTCACCTCGGGGGGCATGATCATTCACGTCAGTCACTTCCACTAGCAGTTTGGTGGCACTGGCTTGACCCAAGGTACCTTCATTCCTCTCCTGGATATATGCCTCCAGTAGTGTTTCAGACAGACCTAGTAAAACAGCTACCTGCACCTCCCCATTTCTAGGCTGAGCGTGAAAGTGGTGTGGCGACTTTACTTGCGTGTTGTTGCTTACGGAGTCCTGGATTTCCCCATTGGAGACTTCATCCAGGTCTGAGGTCTAAACTCGTAATGACACAGTTTCGTTGGGTGCAGTCTCTGGCACGTTAGTGCTGTATACTGTGCGCTCAAATACAGGTGCATTGACGTCTGTGTCCACCAGAGAGCGCTGGCCGCTCTGCAGTCCTGACCGATGAGCACCAGCCGGTTGCTGGCGCTCTTCTTAGGATCCAGAGTTTCCATCCGGAACCTCATGTCCAGGCGAAAGTGTTGGCTGGGGCACAGGCTGTAGCTTAGCAACCTATTGCTTACCTGATTGGCATCTTGGGCATTAGGGACAGTAAAGCGGGCCCCAAGCATCAGGAACTTGGGGATGTGCAGCTGTAGGTCGTTGGCAGGGGAGAGGGGTGTGATAACATCCAGGATGTGGACGCGCATCTTGTGAGACGCCAGCGGTTTCTCCTGAACCAGTTCGTAGGTCAAGACGCAAGCAGCTTTAGCGTCACACATACTTTCGGGGTCCACCGGCTCTCAGACCACCAAGCTACCACTGGCCATCTCCACTGAAATAGGGCTGGTCGTGGCTGAAAAGGAAGTGGAAGTTCCGCAAGGACAGAGCGGCAGCCGACAACCTCTAGTCCAAGGTAACGGCCATGCCTCGCTGGGTCACCTCCAACACTGAGTATTGAAGCTGTCCTGAGGCAGAGCTGCAGGACACACACAAATAGCCGCACCCTCCAGACCCCAGACCCTGCTCCAAACTCCCGCAGAGCAGGAGCCCTGGTATAAAGAGCAAGGGCAGCCGGCCCCCGCTGCGGCTAGAGGTGCCGAGACCGCGGACGTCCCACCTTCGGAGTACCCGGGTAGGTCCGGTCGGGCCGGCAGGGAGCTCGGCTTGCTGGGCCGAGGCTTGGCAGCCCTCTGGGGAAGCAGAGCCGGCGGGTGCGGAGGCGCGCAGCGCCGCCTAGGGATGCAGAGACAGGACCACGGCGGGCTGGGATCTCGCCGCGGCCTGGGATCTCGCTCCGAGTCCGGGCAGTGGGAGCGGAGCAGGCAATGAAGACTCTCCAAAAACCGAACACATCATCGTTTAATCGGCGTTTCCTAGGACAACACCCGAGGCCGCCCTGGTCGTAGCATCTACAACCTCTGCCTGAAGACTGACTGGGGCTAAGCACAGTTGGTCTTCTCTCCCAGCTGTCAATTCCCAGCTGGAGCGCCCACCCGCCCCCTGCAGTGCCGACTGAAGAGGGCGCAACTCCGAGGAACCGCCGGCTGAGCGGGAGACAGGCGGATCTGTGCTGTTAGCATGGCTCATTCGCAGGAGGGCGAATAACAGCTTGCTCTATTAAGTTCCTCCTTTTATGCAGCCCCAATAGGCATATCCTTATATCTGGTGGGCCCTGATATTTTGTAAATATTTGTCAACGTCCACCGCAGGGGCCCACACCCTTAAGCATCTGACAAGATGTTGTAGGCAGACTTATCAGGCAATTACAGTGGCTACACTTGGCACTTGATAGGTTTCAAGATGGAATTGGTTATGTCAACTTCAAGAGGGAGTAGTCATGCTAACTTCATGTTCTCCACAGATGGAAGCAAGCTGAAAACGAGACTGACTTAAAGGACTATTAAACATTAAATTCCTCACTCAGATTCTTCTTTTAATACAATTGCAGTATTCAAAGTTCCAAGAACCAAAATTTGAAAGACAAAAGCTGACTACAGATCAAAAATTGAAGCTTTCAGGGCCTTCTATTTTCTGATCAGAAAACTGCCTAAAATATTGTTAATTGTTGAAGCTGAGTGCAGGATACATGGGGTTAATTACACAATTCTCTCAACTTCCGTGTATGTTTGAATATTTCTACTATAATAATTTTTTAAATTGCAGATTAAAATAAAGTGGGGGACAGGTAGCTCTAGCATTCTGGTCTTAAGACTAAAAGTGAGATTGGTAATATCAATGTGCCAAGAACCAATCATCTCCCTGGAACAACAGACCTGTCTCTTATCTCTTCCAGGGAAATAGGGCAGACAACAACATAAGGCAAAGTAAGTAGCAAATGCCCCTCTCTAATTTGGCTTTTTGAATTAAGGAACCAAAAAATCTTTGACACCAAGTCTTGAATAAAATTAAAGCAGGAAACATGTCAGCCCATTGAAGTGTTAGGTGGAGTCATAAGTATAGCCATCCTTGGGGATCTTTATTAGGATGTGAATTAACCCATAAAAATGAAATTTATTTTTCACTAAATTTCAGAACCAAAAACAATTGTCTACTTCAGGGCCAGAGATTAGAATTTGCATTTCCTCATTTTAATGTAATGTTACTAACCAAGCTAACTGCTTTGGGGTGAAAGGTTATACTTTTCACTTTTTAAAAAATTTTAATCTTCACCTGAGGATATTTTTCCATTGATTTTCAGATAGAGTGGGAGGGGGGAGAGAGAGAGAGAGACATTGATACAAGAGAGACACAGAGACACATAGACTGGTTGCCTCCCTCAGGATCCTGACCAGGGCCAGGGATCGAACTACCTTTGACTGGAATCGAACCTGAGACTCTTTGGTTCTTGGGCCAATCCTCTAACCACTGAGCCAAACTGGCCATGGCTACTTTTCACTTTTCCATTAGCACTGATATTCACACACACACACACACATACACACACACACAGTGTCAATAAATACATGCCTATCAATAATCACTTTAAATGTAAGTGAATTAAATTCTCCAATCAATATGTTAGCTGAATGAATAAGAAAACAACAGCTATATGTATGCTGTCTACAAGAGAATGACCTCAGAAGGAAAGACACAGACTGAAAGTAAAGGAATGGAAAAAGATATTTCATGCAAATGGAAATGGAAAAAGGCTGGGGTAGCAATGCTTAGACAAAATAGACTTTAAAACAAAGTCTATAATAAAAGACCAAAAAAGGACATTACATAATGCTAAAGAGATCAGTCCAACAAGAGGCTATAACATCCTGTAAACATTTATGTACCCAACAGAGGAGCAACTCAATATATATAGCAAATACTGATGGACATAAATGGCAAGATCAACAGTAATAGTCATAATAGGAGATTTTAAGAGCCCTCTAATGTCAATGGATAGATCCTTCAGACAAAAATCAATAAGAAAACAGCAGTCTTAAATGACAAATTAGACTAGAAAGATTTAATTGGTATTTTCAGAGCATTCCATTTCAAAGCTACAAAATATACATTCCTTTTGAGTGCACATGGAACATTTTCCAGGATAAAACACACGTTAGTACACAAACAAGTCTCAATAGATTTAAGAAGATTGGAATCATATCAAGCATCTTCTCCAACCACAATGGTCTGAAAATAGAAATCAATTACAAGAAATAAATGGAAAAACACATAAACACATGGAGGCTAAATAACATGTTATTCAACAATGAATTGGTTAACAATCAGATCAAAGAAGAAATCAAAAGATATCTTGAGACAAATGAAAATGAAAACACAACAACCCAAAATCTATGGGACACAGAGAAATCACTCCTAAGAAGGAAATTCGTAGCATGACAGGTCTACCTCAAATAACAAGAAAAATCTTCAATAAAAAATCTAACTTTACACCTAAAAGAAACAGAAAAAGAACAACAGAGCCCAGAGTGAGCAAGAAAGGAAACAATAAAGACCAGACTGGAAATAAATAAAATTCAGTCTTTTTTTTTTTATTCTCACCCGAGGACATTTTTCCATTTTTTGTACAGACAGAGTGGGAGGGAGAGAGAGGGAGAGAGAGAGAGGGAAACATCGATGTGAAAGGGACACATCAAGTGGCTGCCACCCGCACGACCAACCAGGGCCGGGGACAAACTGCAACCGAGGTACGTGCCCTTAGCGGGAACCGAACCCGGGTCTCTCCGGACCGCAGGTGGACGCTCCAACCACTGAGCCAAACTGGCCAGGGCTAAAATTCACTCTTAAGAAACAATATACAGCCCTGGCCAGTTTGGCTCAGCGGTTAGAGCGTCCGCCTGCGGTATGGAGAGACCGGGGTTCGGTTCCCGCTAAGGGCACGTACTTCGGTTGCAGTTTGTCCCCGGCCCTGGTTGGTCGTGCCGGTGGCAGCCACTCGATGTGTCCCTTCACGTCGATGTTTCTGTCTGTCTCTCCCTTCCTCTCTCTCCCTCCCACTCTATCTGTACAAGAAATGGAAAAAATATCCTCGGGTGAGGATAAAAAAAAAAAAAAAGAAACAATATACAGTCATCCCTCGCCACTTCGGGCCTCGACTTTCATGGCTTCACTCTATTGTGGTTTTTACTGTGTTTGAAAAAACCGCGACAGAGTGAAGCTGCGAAAGTCTAAGTGCGAAGCGGCGAGGGCAACTTGTATAAATGAATCCTACTTCTCAGAAGTTCATTTATCGTGGTCGAGTCTGGAACGAATTAACCAAGATAAACGAGGGCCGACTGTAAAACTTAAACTACCAAGGGGATTGGAAAAAGAGTCCTGTGCTCAAAGGAGAAACACCTGGGATCCAAGTGAAGAAAATGGTACAATGAAGGAAGCTCTTTTTTTGTTACTCCTCCCCTGAGGATATTTTTTCCATTGATTTGTAGAGAGAGTGGAAAGGATGGAGGGAGGGAGGAAGAGAGAGAGAGAGAGATGTGCGAAAGACCCATTGTTGGATTGCCTCCCACACGGAGACCAAACCTACAACCCAGATACATGCCCTTGACCCGGAATGGAACATGTGACCCTTTGGTGCGTGGGCCGACACTCTAACCACTGAGTCACATCAGCCAGGGCAGAGGAAGCTCTTAAAAATGACAGGCTGTGTGCAAGAGGGCTCAACTGGTACATCATACAAAATGAAAATAGCTGGATTTGGACATTGTTGGGAGTCATCCTTGACCTTGACAAGAGTGGCTTTGGTGAGTGGGTGGGTGGGGGGAATAAAAGCATGATTGGGATGAGTTTGATAGAAAATTGATGCATGAATTAATTAATTAATGTGGGGATACAAATTTATGAAGAGAAAACAGGTTTCGGAAAAAAAATCTTGGGGGCCAGTTATAAATGAATGGGCTATGTCAATTAATCTGCTCACTGTTTATGTTCCTGAATCTAGGCCTTCAACTCTTGCTTGAATAGATGCTGACGATGCCGGGAGCATGGCTTTGTGCCAGGCTGAAGAGGCTATATCTCTACGGGTTTTTTGTTTTTTCTCTGCCATCTCTGTGACCTGTCACCTTGAACGAGGAATCAGTGAGAGATCCTGTTTACACGCTCGTTGGTCTCTTATCCTGGGGACTCATTTTAACCTCTTCCTTCTGTTTATTGCTGATGACCTGATTTCTGTGTTGTGGTCCTGTGCCTGTTTGTCTAAGGCTTCAGAGCGTGAGCTTATTATTATTATGATTTTTGGGGGGAACCAAACATGGGACTCTCTGGTCCACAGGCCGATGCTCCAACCATTGAGCCAAACTGGCCAGGGATAGAGCATGAGCTTTTGAAGAACTGGTCATAGCACAGAACATGCAATGAATGACTTCTGCTGTGGCCGGTGCCTGCTTGCTAGCCCTCATCTGTGGTTTTCTGACACACCCTATTTTTAGAACAGCCGCACTTAATTTTAATTACCTCCAATGCCATTTTGGGCACAAATTATTTTATTTTATATATTTTTATTCCTCACCTGAGGGTATTTTTTTATTTATCATTAGATAGAGTGGGAAGGAGAGAGAGAGAGACAGAGAGAAATATAGATGTGATAGAGACACATCTACTGGTTGCTTCCCACATGACCCAAGCAGGGCCAAGGTACGTGCCCATGACTGGAATCAAACCCACGACTAATTGGT